GTTTCATTCAGCTCATACATTCATAGAAAAGACAACGAGCTCTATTAATTATCCTGATGTCATTTCTGTGTAATGCTGGGAATGAGAGTGAGGACAAGCATTAGACCTAGAGAAAGGACGCACACCATTTATGAGGAGACTTTTAAGGACACAAGGTGGGTGGGAGCTAGATTTCCTCTTTGGCCTAGAAAAGACAACACAATCTTTGCCAGCTTCAGAATTCCCATCATTCCCTGGATATTAACACATTCATTTTAGGTAAAGGAAATTGCACACCAGACCAGCTATGGTCATATTCAAAGCTCCAGAATTATCCATTCATCATGTTCTGTGTGTATGTTGAATCAGTGTAATAACTCTTTAATGTTACATAGAAATTCTTCTAGGCATAAACTGTGTATTAAAACTTACTATCTTTCCTTTGGGAATAAGAGTTTGAAAGTATTCATATTAAGTGTGTGAAGGTATATTAAAAGGTTAATTCAGCAGTTCTAAACCATTTTTACATTGTCCACAACAATGTTCAAAAGACAACCAACTTTTTCTGTTGTTTGTGATTTACTGAATAAGTATTTTAAAAAATATATTTTACTTGTTTTAAGTCATTTTATGTCATAAAGCAATTGTTTGTAGTTTTTGCAATGTTGGAGCCCCCTACAGTTAAGTGGAAATCCCTGTCTTAAATATATCACTGTCATAATTAGAGTGGATTGCTTTACACTAGCATTTGTTGCTTCCATGAATCATTTCACCCTTTTGTACATACAAGTTGCTTTAAGCACACCATGGAAGTGTGAGGCCCCCTACTGGGCCCTGACCCCTAGTTAAAGGGTTAGTTCACCCAAAAATGAAAATTAGCCCATAAATTACTCACCCTCAAGTCATCCTAGGTGTATATGACTTTCTTCTTTCAGACGAATCCAGTCGGAGTTATATTAAAAATTGTCTTTGATCGTTCAAGCTGTTTAATGCCACTCAGCGGGTGTTGCATGCATCAGTCCAAAAGAAGTTAAATAAAAATCGCCCATCCATTAAAAAAAAGCGTCTCACACGGCTCCGGGGGGTGAACAAAGGCCTGTAGCGAATCGATGCGTTTTTGTAATATTTTTGCATATTCAAAACGTAATAATCACTTTAATGTAGCTTGCGCTCACTGTTGTACAAGGAAGCAGCTCCGGGCGGATGATGTATGAGGTCGGCGTTG